AATTATTCCGAGACTTAACATCGGATTACTGATACTTACAATTAGCACGGACAAAGCGAAAGGAATGGCGCCGATTGATCGTACGTGTCCTTTCTTCTTTTTCCTTGAATTTCGAGTCGGGTTCGCGATTCGATATTCCAAAACGACGTTCGTCCAATTACCGTTTCGGGAACGTTTTCATGTCATTTATTCCGCGGCCAACGGTACGTGATATGAGTGCCGCAGCTCCGTTGAACGTTTCTTCGTTTATTTTCGGTGTAAGTACCTGTCGTGATATGCATTCGGGACATAAAGTGTAACGCGCAAAACCTGCGCGCCGTACAGCGTGCGGTACAACGAGTTTGCAAATGCAGCGCGCACGGGGGTACGGGGGCGCCATAATTCAGTCCTCGGGGCGAGAATCGTAAATCCACGAAATGTCAAATTTTTACATCGCCGCGGGCTGTACCGTTAAGTAGCATTATTATTCTCATTGCGTGCTCCTTTTTCCTACAATTTCTATAAATGGAAATTCATCGGACAAAGATAGTTTGACTGACTCAGACTTGGAAGAATCTTACGAGTCATCTCCCCTTTACGACGAGGAGTCTTGGGAATTTCTAATTTCTCTTTGATCTCAAAAGCGTTCACCGGACTCAACTTTTTATCTCCGAGCAAACAAAACTTTTGGGAATTTGGCAGCGAGATCAGAGTTTTACGATTCTCGGTGTCAAAGAGCAATAAATTAAAAATTACGCAATCCGGGCTGAGACGTTTAACAGATCTAAAACAGCCTAATGACGGTGTCGGCCAACTTGAGAAACGCTCTCAATCGACGGCCGGAATCGATCCGGATAATAAGTGGCTTCTAAAAGGACCACGGCGCCGTGTTCGCGAAAGTGGCTCGAATAAGATCGATACGTAGGCGAATTTCGCCAGATCGAATAATAATCGTCGTCGTTACACTGGCTGGTTCTTCGATTAACCCGGATAACCTCGCCGGGGTCCCTAAAGGATCGTGATAATACGATCTCCCGCGCATTTATCTATCGTCAATTCGTGGCGCGGCGTTCGTGGCGAGCACTCCCTCTTGCTCAACGACCGAACCAGTGATTCACGATTCGTGTTGCACGTTACGATTTCAGGACGGTATACATGCAACCGATACATATGCAGGACGTTGTTGTTGTACAGGTACGACTTGCGACACGTTAATCCGCTCTCTAATTACCTGCGCTTCCTTCCACGCGTTCCGCGATGCCTGCCCTTGCAGTTTCGCCTAATGACACAGGAACTCTGACACGGGATTCCTGATCCGGGACCGATACCGAAAACAGAAAGCCTCTCCAAGTTGTTCATTTTCATCGACAAGAAAGAAGTTTCTTCGTTCTTTCTGTTTGTCCGGGGCGAACTGTTATCGACGATTACAATGCCTGATTTTTTTTACAATTGAAAACGACGATTTATTATTGTATACGATCGCTAGAGTATTGGATCTTTGCCAGTTACAAATGTTTGCACACTCCACCTGTTGAGTTTCAGCTATAAAAACCAACCGAGAACCTGAAAGTTTCGCTGCTTGTTTGCTCGCGTGGCGTGCCCGTGCACGCGATGAAAGTTTCATTCACTCGCGGTGAAGCAAATTCTGTTGTCCATGTTAATGCAAGCTGGACTGCAAACAGCTTGAACGTGCAAAAAAAGAAATTACAGCAATCCAGGATGGCTCTTTGCCCGCCTTACTCATCGGACCTCTTTCCTGGAGATTACCATCTAGGTAGAGTAACTTTCTCGAAGAAAAGCGGCTGGTTAAGAAAGTGTGGAAATACGCACTCGGACGAAGCCGTTTAATTTTCACAATTGAAGAAATTGACAAAAGAAAGAAGTTGTGTACGGACAACAGGGAACACGAGGATATTTAAGTATCGCTCATTACGCGTATGCATTTGCATTTATCAAATAACAGCGTCTCGCTTTCCGAGGCAACTACTCAACCTGATTTCCCGCGTGTCCGTTGGAACACGCATTGAAACAGTTGCCAGCCCGAAGCAGCCGATTCATGAACGAAGCCAAGAGTCGTTACAATTACTGCGAGGTACAACGTGTCGGTCGGACGTGCAGAAAGCGTTCAAAGTTTAAACGCACCGCGGGGGAGTGACTCAGAGGCAAGCTATCTCATAGAGTAACTAGACGTGCCTGTTCGTTGCCCGGCAATTACGATTTGTGAGGGTCGAGCGCGTTCACACGGGAGGGGTTGCTTGCGAAATAATAAACGTTAGTTCCTTTATCGATTCCGAGCACGAAAGTACTGTGTGGAAGAGATCCAAGAATAGTCGTGAAATCATTGACATTGCGCCGTTTACTTGCTCGCATTTGCTGACCGAAGCATTTCCTAGACCGAAGAATCCTGGCGTTTATGGTATTTCTGTATTGTACAAAGAGGATTAAGCAATTAAATACGAATAAATACGAGTTCGGAAGTGAAAGAGGTCATTGTACTCGGAACATGCTTTTGTATTTACCTTTACCCAAACATCGCTCCATCCTCCGTCCTCCACGTACTCCATCCACTACTTATTTATGTAACAAGTTCGCATCCGTTCCATGCTCCTGTCCCGACTGGACGCTTCTGTCGCGCAGCGGTTGAGGCTGTCTGGCAAAGAATATTGTTACGATGACGCATAGTTTGCACGCACCTGCAAGACTCGCGAAAACCGTTCGACACGTCGATTGAACGGTGGTTTCTTGCCATTTCTGTTGTTCAATTCTTCTTGACTTTGCGAAGCGCGGTGTAGGGTCATCAGTGTCCTCCACGAAACAGGCAGACCGGCATGAATGAACGTCAGAAGCCGAGGGCCCTTTTTAAGGGTGCTCACGTGCCCGTCACGTGAGGTAGGCACGCCCATTGTCTCGCGGAGAATGCACGCTCGTGTGCATGTGCCGGGAACCGACACGCATAGCGACGCTGCTCACAGAGGCCCAACACGTTACACGCGTATGCTCGATATATTTGTGAGGTAGACGCGTACGTGTGGCTGGCGGCGGCACTGCGTAGATTATGAGAACGGTGGCTGAATATTAAAGAGGGGAAGAAGTAAAAGGCGATAGGATGTGGCGCGAGGCAAAGACACGGCGGAAGTGCCGCGACACCGGCGCTAATCGTGAAAGAGAACCATTTTGCTGGGGTGTGTTTCTTCGTCGCAAGTGGTTCCCTTTTTAGTCGACGATCGAACAAACGTACGCGTGGCTCACTATTCTCAGCGTTTCCCCGTGCTTTCAAGTAGAATTCATGATACGCAAAGGCTGCACGTTCACGTATTAAAAATTCAAGAGGTAATGGCGTCATCAGGATTCACGTTGCCTCGTACATCCCGAAACATTCGGCGATCTTTATGCATCGCCTATCAGCTCTCCCGGCAGTTCTCCATATTTCTTTTCACCCTTCGTTCGTTATATACACACATACGTTCGTTTGCCGTTTCGTTCTCGCGCGTATCTGGAATTTAAAGAGGGAATTATTGAAGGCATTCGAAGAATTATCGTATAGCGTTCCACGTCACGTTTCACGATATTCCTTTAATTTTTCTACGCCCGATCGAGCACGGAATCGTTCAATGACTCGGAATATTTATCGCCAATCCTTCTGTCTCCTCGTCTCTTATATACTTCTACATTCGTCTCGCGAAACGTATCGTTAGCAGTAGGAAATGTTCGCATTTTAACGTCACTTACGCTGCGGAATACATGGTGTGTACAACGTCAGACGTAGGAAACAAGGAAAAGAAACGTCGATGCTATAACGAGACTCGAGATAGCCATTGCGAAAGTCAATAACGAATACGAATTTTTACCTAATTGTATCAGCTCTCGTTAACGAGAGTGGCTTAAACACGTTTTATCAGTTGATAAATCAAACGACCCGGATGAATAATGTGCAGGGATGGTAATATGGTCGCGTAATGTGCAGCAGCGAATGGGAAGTCGAGTCGGCCAGTATTGAAGTGAAAACAAACGTATGTAAACAGGGGAGAGGGCACGTGTGGGGGCATCGGGCCTTCCGCTTGTTTAACTCTGTTTGTTTTGGCTGCGCCGTGAGACATGCTGATTCGTTTTAACTCTTTCCCTCCATTACGACAGGCGCGCGTTATACTGCCTTTTAAAATGCTTGTTCCTTTTCTTTTTCTTCTTTCTTTTTTTTTTTTTCATTTCTGGTTCGGTTACCTCCGCGCCATTCGTGTTGCTGGTTTACGACTGCGGGAGAAACAAAGATCGTTTCTTGAGAAATTAACGTGGTATACACTTTATAAAAGATGACGATTCCACCTCCACGACAAAGTTATTCTCGGAATAGAGAAAAAGTGAATAAATAATTACCGCGTTTCTTGAATTAATAGCAGAATTATATCGCAATTAGTAATTAAATGGAAAAGAGTCTGAGTTGTTTATCGCCTCTTTTGCCTGAGGAGATGCCAGTATTACCTTGAGTGGTTTCTTACGTGGTTCTTTATATTGTGCGTGACAAAGAGCTGTTATTTATGTCTGTGTGCGCCGGCAACAGCAATGTTAGGTTAGGTGGCCCTTTGAAATAGATTGACGTCATACATGTTTCCTATGGTTGAATTTATAAATCAATGTATGTATATATCGAGACAAATATATTCTGAATATAACTTTCATACCGTGTCAATTTTACCATTTGTTCTTGCGATATTTTAAAAATAATACATACGTTCCAGAAAGCCAGTCTAAAACGTTTAAGGGTTAACAACGAATGAAATATCAAATGGTACAAAATAAAAATATGATACGATACCGGAGTGCACCGAACTTGAGATTTAAGGGACATAGACCCCAGGAGCACGCCCTTTGTTCACATTAAACGCGATGTTAGGTGGTTAAAGGCACACCTAAAGTTGCGCTGAAACGCGATTCAAGTATACATACATCGTTCCGTAGTTCCGGCGTTCCGGACGTTCCGTTTCATCGTTCCACGGTTCGGGCGCGAGAGTAGGCAGTTGCGTGTGTCGTGTCAGTTATATCTCGGCAGCGAGAGCCGTCAGGCACACGGGTGTTTCGATGCTCGCCGTTCGTTCAAAATCCTCGTGCGTCTTGATATACGCACGATTTACAGCGATACTGCTTGTGTTGGTATAAACAAAAATCCACAGAATCTCGGTAACCACAAGTGTCCTATCGTCGAAGACTGTCGTCGTTGTTTTCCGTAATTTCCCTTTTCGGAGCGATATCCAGAGTAATTTCGAAAGTTGGCACATCGTTCGAGAACGATAGAGAGTCTCGTGGTTTGGACGATCAAATCATGACAGTCGCTTCTTTGGATTCTGGCTCGACGACATTTCTCGTGACACTGCGTGCATTTGATTCGTCTCCGCGCGTGGACTCCGCTCTGCAAAAACGAAGGATTTCAAGGTTAAGTTTATTTCCTGACACGTGATCTTACAATATACGTGCGACGAATCGAACGTTCGACCGTGGTTTCGTATACGTCATTTCGCAGAGTAACGATTTCGATCGATCGAATGGACACTGGGTTTAATGTTTATCGATCGTACCACGCGTGTCGGTAGTATCGTTGACGTGCACGGCCGGATGCAGTTACAATCGAGACGCTATAATGAATTACGCAAGAGATCAAACTACGCTGATACCGAGATTTTGTTTAGTTTCCACGTACTATCCTTACGCGTTGATGCGTGGATCGCGATTCATTTATTTCTCGTGACGGCCGGTGAAAACGCGAGTGCCTCGTACATCGGAAATCGTACGCGATACTCGACACGAGCGCGAAGAGATATTTTGTAAAATCGTGTTACGAGTGTCGAATCGTGTTCGTTTCTAACACAAAACAGTGAGATCTCAGGTAGAAGTTTCGAATAGAAACGTACGCACTGTTCCATTAGAAGTGAATGGCGATTTGTTATCGAAACGGCACGTAGTTTGTCACGTCGATTTGTACGCGAGGTGTGTCGTTTCCCCTGGCTATTAACGTACGCGAAGCGCATCTTGTCGATTCTCTTCTTCCTTTCCTTTGCCGCGCTGACGCGAGAATCTCGCGCGAAGTGAACAGCATTCGTATAGGTTAGACCGTCGCGCGGGAAAAGTGGCGCCATTGACGGGCCACGTTCAAATTCGACGTTGACTTTTTACCACGTGACCCGCGTACGCGCCACCATCGTGCGCTGCATCTTCGTTTTGAGATCGAGATGCCGAGAAATTTCGATAATCGAATAGTCGTGTTATGGCCGGACGTTTGCGAATCCGAACGCTGACGGTGTGTTAACCTTTGAAATTTGTTCGTGAGACGGTGACAAGCTGTAGAAAGGTGTGAAAGTAACGGGATAATTCTGCAAGACAACCCCACGAGTGAATCGGGAGCTGGAAAAATCGTCATGGCGTACGTGCTCTGGCGGGTGTTTATGAAGAAATACTCCAAGGTGCGGCTCGGGCTCAGGAATCTGCCTGTAAGTGTGTTTCGCAATTGTGTTTTGTACTTCGTAATTTGGCGCCGTTTGACGCGTTTGGTCGTCGTTTACGCGAGCGGGCGGCCGGTTTTGTTCGTGATGCAAATTCTCTATTTCGAACGGAGCAGAACCACCGTTCGAAATGGGGTTCCATCGACAGCAAACGTACGAATGTTACATCGTAATTCTCAAGGTCGGGATTTTACGTGTCGAACTTAGCCGCACTTCGCTCGAAACGACGCACTGTAATTGCGACAAGCATTGAATACGTTATGTAACCGGAGCCGACCGGAAACCGTACTTGGCATGAAAATCTACCGGTAAGGTCGATGTTTTTTCTTTATCCTCGTAACTATCTCTCGAGTGATAGAACAGAACTCTTTCACGCCTCATAACAGTTCGAAATTATTAACCTCTTGCGCTTGAATGACGTGCCACGCACGTCGAGAATTTTTTCTCCCAAAATTGCAACATTTTCTCAGTTTTAAGTATATATATTTAAACGTAACTCATGATAAGTTTATCACTTCTTAATAATTTTATCCAGTGATATCATTACCGACGACTTCAAAAGAAAAAGAAAGCGACGAATTATTGTATACGATTCGGTCATTCGTTACGGTCCGCAGTCAGTTGCAAGTGGTTAACCTCTTGCACTGGAATGACGTGCCACGCACATCGAGAATTTTATATTTATTATAGTATATTTAAATATAATCCAAGCAAGATAAATGGCAAGTTTATTACTTTTTAATAATTTCTATCCAGTGATATCATCACCAACGAGTTTAAAAGAAAAAGAAAGCGACAAATTATTGTATACAGTTCGGTCACTCGTTATGGTCCGCAATCAGTTGCAAGTGGTTAACCTCTTGCGCCACGCACGTCGAGAAATTTTCGTTCCAAAATTGCAACATTTTCTCAGTTTTAGGTATATTTAAATATAACCCAGGCAAGATAAATGACAAATTTATTACTTTTTAATAATTTCTATTCAGTGATATCGTCACCGACGAGTTTAAAAGAAAAAGAAAGCGACGAATTATTGTATACGGTTCGGTCACTCGTTATGGTCCGTGAACCAGTTAAGGGATTAATCGAAGATAAATTTTATAAAACTCGCGTTGTTATTCACGTGTAATGAGAGAGAAAAATTCCCGCGTGGAATGTTTCAATTTCACGAGCCGTTACGAGTGTTTCAAAATAATTCAATTTTCCATCGATTTTCGATTGGTTGAATCGATAGCTGCGCCTCTCTCATATGGTACGATCCCTCCGCGTTCGAAGGTGCAATCATTAGACGTTGCAACTGCAGCTAATACGAGTAATTGGATAATTGCCGTAGAAGGCAGCGTAGCAGTTGTAATTTTTTTTTTTCGTACCGTCTCGTGCCGGCCACGTTGTCGATTTCTATCGATGTATCGTGATCGATCGGATGCGTGCACGGTTCATTGGTTTTCCATCGGAGCAGGATTCGTTCGCGATTCAAGATCGTTCTCAGCGTGTCATACATCGAACTTTCTCCCCTCTGTATATTTTCTTTTTCTTCACGCCTGTAATTTTTGATATTAATTCTTAATGTTAAATTCTTAATATTTATTCGCGTTGTGATCACTAATTTTTGTGGATTAATGCGATCGTACCTAATTTGTCGCATTTTGTTACGCCAAGATGCATCGCATTTAATTTGATAGGTTTTTATTAAATTTTGTTATTTTATTATATATAAAATTTATTATTTTTATTAAGTTTTAATAAATTTTATTATTTTTATTACATTTTAATAAATTTTATTATTTTTATTACGTTTTATTATCAAATTTTTTCGCTAAACAAATCAATATTGAACGCAACTGGCCTCGGAAGTTGTGCCTATTCAATCAAGTAAAAAAGGTTTCTCCAGATTGCTGATATGCGTAGGTACACCCTGATAATAAATTTCATACAGAGAAAAGGGAAACACATTTTCAGGCGGGGGGGGGGGGAGGAGGGTGCGCGAAATTTACGACGTGTCGGATTGGATTACGTCGATGCGTACGCGTGCGGAGATCCACCGCGTGGTTATGCAAACGATTGTTATGCCCTGATGTAACGGGGAGGGTTCGCATCGAGCATTAAGTCCCGCTTGGATTAGTCGAACTGTTTTGATTACACAATCGGTTATATACCTCGACGTATCTCGATTTCTATCTATTGTTTTAACGAATTTTACGTAACTTCATTAAAATTGAAACACGGCTGGGTGAATCAATCGCGGATTCAATCTCCGTCATCTCCCGTTCGAAACGGACGCTCGAACGAATTTAACTCATCGCGTCTCGAAGGCAGGTTCCTAGAACTCGATCCATCGGTCTCGTATTGTAATTATCGAAAAAGAAAAAAGAGAAAGAAAGAGAGAGAAAAGAGTTTGCAAAGTCTTGAGTCGGTGGCCCGAGGGAGTCTTAGCATCTTAATAAATTAAGTGCATCGGCTGGAGGGAGTGGGAGGTTCACGAGCATAGCTAGGAAGAGAACGAATGGATAGAGGAGGAAGAAGAAGAAGAAGAAAAAGAAGAAGACGACGATGAAGAGTGGAGACGAAGATCGGTTCGAGAGGAAAGAAAGGAGCGGTAGGCGGTTGGAAACCGGGGGTCTAGGGCGGACTAGGGGGTGTTGAGGGGGTGGAGGGGTTGCAATTCAGTTTGCGGTCGCCGAGTCAGGTTACGTTAGGTTAGTCCAGCGGTTGGTCCCCGTGACCGTGAACCGCAGCTGACCTGCGACACAAACACACAGAGTCCCTCTTTCTCTCTTCCCTCCCACCTTCCATAAATCTACCTGCACTACATCGCGTCTCGCTCCAAGCGGCTTGGCGAACCGCTTCTTTCTCTCTCTCTCTCTCTCTTTTTCTCCCTGTCTCTGTCTCTGTTCTTTCTCTCTCTCTCACTCGCTTTGCATTGTGCGCTCTTCGGGATCTCAGAGTGATAAATACAGCCGGCCACCCCTCTCACATCCCTATATCTCGTTATCTGTCCCGGTCTGGCCCTTGAACAACTCGCGATACCGGCGTGAACCCGTTTTCCCGTTTTATCGTGCCAACCAACGACTTTGGAGCGGGACATCGTCGCGTGGGCGTGCTGATCTACTTCGATTTTCGCCGTTGTACGTTTCAAGTTTCCTCGCCCTCTATTGTTATCACTCGCGCAACAATACATACGAGAGATATCTGAATTTGTTGCGAGAACAAAGCAACTCAATCTGGGGTAAAAGCTAATTGAGAAATTAGCAAAAATTTTGTTCCAACAAAAGGACCGTTTCACTGTGAATATGTGGTATCATATTGAGCATTTGAAGTGGCCCTTTAGAGAGTTCTTTCAATTATACATAGGCATCTTTCATACGTGTATAAAAGTAGAAACTCCTTTTATGAAGAATTAAAGGAGAGTTTCAAAGAAAGTCAATAAACTCTTAAAGACGTCTATTCGCGACGATCGGTCTCTCAATACTTGGTGGAAGCGGCGTTGAAAATCGTTGCGATTAAAAACGCAGCTTTATCTGGAACTCGTTAACGCAACGTTTTCTCCCGTTAGCCGCGCTATCGCAATGTTTTGCACATCTCCTATCGTGGCTCGCAGTCACGACCGCGGATCGGAACAAGAGGCAAGAAAGTGAAGAGCAAACTTGGGTGGCGTCGGCAATCAAACCGAGTTTCCTCCGGTCTTCTTCTTTTCCCCCGATGGTGTTAATTTAATTTGCTTCGTTCGTTATCGGGCTCTTGCCCAAGAAGCTCTCCAACCTCCTCGGTTTTATCGGAAATAATTTGTTCCATTATCGAACGGCGTACTTGAAATCGAAAGTGGAAACGCACACTGGGAGGAATGTTTGCTTTGAACGAATGTAGGCGGACAGATTGATCGATGGCTGTTTAATCGCTATTGTTAACGTTCATGGCCGTTGCAAATCGGATCAGCCATGTGAGATGCGATGTTGCAGTTGAACGAACGAGCTTCTCTCCACTCTCCTAATATCGTTCTCGTTTCTAGTTGTACAGCGTGTTAGAAAAATGCATACACATTTGAAATGTCGATCCGCGATCTGCAAATGATCCGATTAGTCTCATAACTCATGAAACTGATGAAAGACCTAGAATACGAGTGTCTATGTTTCTCGCAGGATGAGTTGGTTTCAGAACCCACGTTCGTTCTTTCTCGAACGCTTGTTACTTGTCATAAATTCTTACAACATCCTCGTACATCTTCTTAATTCGCTTAAAACGCTATAACGGACATCCTTTTCCGCATGGATTCCATTGTGTTCCGTTCATTTATCGTCCCTGAAATTAGGCAGAAACCAAACGAGTTACGTTCCATCCATACTGTTTTCTTCTCGGAAGACTGCCGTGCTGTACGAAGCAAGATCGATGATATCATTGTTCATTCCTCGGAGTAGGCGCTTAGGCTGCACGATCATTGCTCGGGGATCATCAGAAAAACGTTTTTCCCCAGTCTGGTTGTACGAACCTCGTGTTTAATATGTGTCAACGTTTCTCGTGAAACCTCGTCGCCACGACCGACGAAGCCTAATTTCTCGAGAGCAGTCCTCGTCGGAATGGTGACGTCGCGATTTCGTAACGACACGCCGAGAAGCCTACGTTTATGTACATTGTGTACATTGACACGGATTTATTACTCGGCACATATTTGACGTTGTTCTAACGCGGCGCTCTGAAATCTCGTGTCTGTTCACAAGTCTTTTTCTGAAGATACACACGCGTATCTTAACTTTACGACTGAGCATTTCGTTTCGGTCAACATCACCGGCTTTACATTAGCGACTAACGTTCGTCGTCTTTGGTGAACGAGTGAAAATTTTCAAAAGCGCCACGTGCCTCTCTAGGCTAGTGGTTAGTTCGAATCGTGTTTAACTCACGGAAATTCATCGTTTGACACATTTTGTTGCATACATTTGCACGTATTTTATAACACAGTTCAATTACACGCGAACACGATGCAGTTCATGTTGGAG